AAAACAAATAAATTGGTAAGTTTGTTTTTTTGTAATCTAAAATACTTAGTATTTAAAATAATGCGTCAAAAATGTGGCATACATATATGGGAGTTGATCGAAAACCCCGTGTAAGGAGTTTTATATAAAACAGCCGAAACATCCGCGAAAGATTCGCGATGAGGTTCGCGAAAGTATCTTTTTTCCGCGAAAGATTTATCGAAGGTCATCGCTTTCACATGTTTTCCTCTCTAAGGGATTGACAAAGAATAGAAATACAAGGCAATCCTCCGGCAGAGCCGGTGGGCGGAAGTGTCCCCATATGTCACAGACTAACGATCTCAAGCCTCAACATGTCCGTGCCCAGCCCTGGCAGTGCGTAAAGGATTCTCCGATTCCTGTCCCCACTGTCATAGACTAGCAACCTGAGTAGGCGCAGCCCTGACAGTGAGGCGACGACCTGCAGCTGCTCTGACGGGCTGTGCAGATGTTTGCATACGGCTTCCCGGGGAAAGCGCCAGTGAAATTTCGCGAAAGATCCGCGAAAGTTTCGCGAATGTGCCGCTAAAGTCCAGGTTCCCAGCTTGATTTCCCAAGCTGCATCACCCTCTGGTGGTAGTAGCTGGCACGAGCATTCGGTTGAGTTGCGCCACAAATGCTGCAAGTGACCCTGAGTAGCTGTGGAAACGTTCAACCTTCTACTGGGGTCATGCTGCAAGATGTCTGTCTCTATTTTGTGATACTATGACATGTCCCGGCTCATGTTAGCTAGACATGGTTGTAGGAGCATGCTTTACGATGAGGCCGCGAAAGATCCGCGAAAGATATTTTTTCCGCGAAGAATGGCCATTCCAGGATGAAATAATATTGATCAACCACCATATTTACAAACAAAAAATAATATATCAATTTTGCACTACTATACTTCTGGATCTTCATGGGGCACCAACCTCAGCCAGGAAAACTTGCGCCTTCGTCGGGACTTGGAGCTCAGCCGGGCCATGCTCAGCCGCTGGGGTGCCCGGGCAGCGCCTCCCCTACCAAACCATGGGAGGTTGACACTCTGTTCATTGGACCGGGGGTCAACCACAGTGCCTGCATTCTATCCCACCTCCAGATGTTTTGTTTTTTTGAGATTTGGTTTTGCTTGAGGTGATGGTGATTTTGCCTGCTGGGTGAATTGCCGGAACAGGGAATTGGCGATTCTTGGTTCCTGAAGCAAGTGGAGATATTAAGGGGTTCTTTTTCATGTTTGAACACTTCGAATTTGGGCCAAGTGACAGGCATGCCAGGTTCACGCATTCCATGCAATGAAGTTCATCAAGGCATCCACAATGTCCTTTGGATCGTGTTGTACGCTCCAAACACGGGTTTCCAAAATCAGTTTGTTTATTAATTGTTGACCTGGCCTTGAAGTGTAGAACCCTTCGTAAAACAATGGTTGTTCAGCAAAGGCTATGGAAAATCAATGGTGGGCCAGGAAACCAAACGGGCAAACAGTTGGAAAAGTGTCCCACAAAGTTCAGAAGAAAGCACTGTAAATAGCAATGGTTGTTTCCAATCCCGCGTGGTGTGTTCTTCCTTCCAAGTGTAGCGCCGGTGCTCGGTCTTTGCGTCCGAAGGCTACACGGAAGAGCTGGCGTCCATCATGTCCGGAGCGCCTGGAACTTCCCGGGGACAGGGGAGGCTCCGGGTGGTGGGTTTGCTTTGGTATTACGCTTGAAAGCGCAGAATTCATCAGAAGACAGAATTCATCAGAATACAAAATGTTCTGCATCGTAGGACATTCTGGATCTCATTCATGTTGTGCGGAGAGGTTTTCCTTCAGCAGTTCTGCTGTTCAAAGGGAGCATGGAAGGTGTTCGAAGCTACAGAGCGCAGTCTTCCATTCTTCCATGCAAAGTTTTCTGAGAAGTCTCTCACCTTCTTGGAGACACCTGGTGTTGGAAATACCAGCCAAAGAATCACACTGACAAATGGGTTGAACAATCCCCACGTGTACCAGTTTTTGGAGGACTCCCAGATGCAGGTGATGGCTGTAGTGAGACTTAGCAATTGAGGAAGTGGGAGTCAATTTCGACTGGTCTCCGTCAAGCCCAGCCTGGTTTCAGGGTTTGCCCGACGGGTGACGTCGTCCTCTTCGGCCCGTTCTGTGGGTTTTTCGCCGTGGCGCTCGAGAGCGCTTTTTGAGGCCCGGGATGCAGAAGGTCCTTCAGAAGTTCAATCATGACACCAAGCCATGCAGGACGACTGAATGAAGAGCCGGGGGTATCATAAGGATTCGAGTTTTCCTGACAAATGGCATTGGAATTATAGATGCCGGCCCGACCCCGGGTCAAGGAACCAGGGATTCTAGGTCTATGATAGTCTATGGTTTTAGTGTTCTGTTCACCACTGGTGACTCCCAGCGACATCGTGGTAACTGATCTGGAGTGACGGCCAGTCCCATTCGTTTGGTCCGACCTGTGACGATTTTCTTCCCCCGTGGATCGCATGGCCGAGCAGATTCTCCAGTTCCTGCTTGGCCCTAAGAGGCGCCACGTCCGTTGTTTCTTCTATGAGAACTAGATGCGCCACGTGCACAAAGGGGACAAGCAGAATCGGAGAAGGCTTTTTCAAGGTCTTGTTCAGTCTTGAAGCCTTGCAGAACTGAGATAGAGATCGTGTCCATTGTCCTGGAAGCAACATAATAAGCAGTGCCAGTCTGGCTGTGGACTTGGGAGACTGGCATGGAGCATTTGGATGCTGAGATGCCCAGAGAGGTTGTGGTACACATGGGATGGGCGACCAGACGGGCTGTGAAGAAACCTCTCTTGGTGTTCCCTCCGACCTCGCTCGGGACGCAGGAGCCTTTCCTCCGACATTGAACCTCCCATGGCTCCGCGAACCATGGAGGACCGGTTCGCGATGGAAGTCTGTGGCGAAAGCGGAGACTTCCAGCTGTGGGGGCATTGTGCAAAGACTCCATGGGACTGGAATATGAACTCCATGGGACTGTGTGTTGTTGTTTGTAATACCTTACCCCATGAAAATGACCCCGGATCCATGGATGGTTTAGGTTGGTGTTATCTTTTGGGATCTGTGCAACTAGGGAGAAGAACCCCGAGACGTCTGTTTGGGCACATTTGGGATTGGAGTGGTGTTGGTTTGAGGACATGGTCCTATTCAGGATCTGTTCGTCCCTCGGAAAATGAGTGCAAGTGCCTGTTTTTGTAGCCCATACACTCCATGTATATGGAATTCGAATACAGTTCTTTAATGCTCCTGGACATATCCTCTATAAAATCACAGGGGTCATGGTATCCCACAAAACGTTTTATGGTCCCTGCCCAGGGGGGCGTGGGGGTTGGATTTTATAGAGGAAAGCTGCTTGTATCCAAGAAACGATAAGAAACGTACACGTCACGTGGGCCACACAATGCATGGTTCAAACCAGATATGTCAAGAGTTAACCAAATTTCTTCTCAATCTGTGAAAGAGGATATGACATAGTCATAGTGGTCTCCTAAATCATGCAGATGTTCCGTGCCTTGTTTTTAGTGTTTTCTGGTCACTGCTCAGGCACATGGTGACCTGAGGTTGAATGATTTTATAGAGACCCCCCCTAGGGGGTGACCACCACCATTTCATATCTATAAAATTACTGTCAAGACCCCCGCCCTGTATGTCCAGGGGATGTTCTTTACATTGTTGACCCCATGAACATGACCCCAATGTAGGTACCTGTTCCACACATTGATGGTCTGGCTAGGGTTGTGTAGCTGCATCTCCGTGGACTTACATGGATGGGTCATATATTCATGGGGTCAATTTTCGTACATGGTCTGACCGGTCTTGACATGGTCTCAAACTCGTTTCCCCCAGACGCCCCCCCGGGGACGTTCGGACCGCGCCAGGCGGCGGAGTGCACAGAAGCTGCAGCCAGCCCTCCGTCCGAACGGACCTGTTTGGTCGTGCCGTCCCGTGCCCGCCCAGGGCCTTAGGGATGGGGACTGGACTCGCCGACTCGATGGTGTTTCACACACGGTTCCTCCCACCCAGTGGTGTGTTGTCGGTGGTTTTCCTGACAGCGACCCACGGCATGACACCCCAGGGGTCACCCGGTCAACGGTGAAACGGGAAACACCGTGTGTGACAGGATGGAAGCGTCGTTGTGCGGTGGAGAACTCAGTTTGGCGCCTGAAGAGCCAGCTGACTCAGGGAGTTGTGGTTCCCACAGCCTGACTTGGATGACCCCAATTGTGGCACTAGCACCTAGTCTAATAATGTCTAATATAGGCTTTAGTTAATAAGTTGAAACTCTACCAGTCAGAGGTCAAAAGCTGTGGGAAAGTCAGTGGAGCCAGCCTCACGAAGCTAGTCTTCTCAATCGAGATGCGTATGACGAGTTTGGTCTCTTTGGCTTCTTGATCTTCTTGGCATGCTGCAGGTGCTATGTCTCGAGATTCTCGAGAAATGGACACACCTCCGCTAGTCCAGCCGGGGCATCAGAGCTTCCGAACCAGTGACTGTCAGAATGAGCTTGGCTTTGCACTTGCAGACATCTGCAGATATTTGTAGAGTCGATGAGTTTGTTTGTCACCAAGACTTGGCACACAAACTGCCGATGTTTTTCAAAAGATAAAGAAAACAGCTGCTCATAGAAGCTGCTCATGAATTCCGTCACCCTTTGGGCTCGATCTCGTTCCTTCGTTCTTTCCGACAGGTGGCCGTTTCTCCATGGAGGGCGACCCACCCCGTCGTTCCCCGTCGTCCTTTCGGCGATCCATTCGCTTGGAAGCGACGCGTCGTGCTTTGCGGGGACAATGGACTAGACAGGCGCTCGTTTGGGCATGCTCATTCTCAGAGGTCATGGCCGTGGGTTCAGTGCCAGCACCTGGCATCAGTGCCGTAGGAGTATGTTGATTTTTCCTATTGGTGAATCCATGTGAATGCTCTTCTTCTGGGGAATATAGTATATTTTCCCCGGATTCTGAAGCAAATCCAAGGCACTCCACTTGATTACCAGCCCATCCTTCACCATGGCAGCTTTGTTCCTCATGTTCGTCTTATCCAGCTGGCGAGCGGGCAGTGTCTTGGATGTCTTCTTCCAGCCGGCCCACTTGCTGCGGCCCAAAAACTACTCCAGGTTCGGATTGGGAGAGAATCAGCGCTCCAGCCGCATGTTCTTTTCTTTTTCCGTGGCGATTCGCTTGGGCTGTGCAGCTATGCTGGGAGGCCTGTTTCTCGACTTTGTGTTTCTCTTTGATTTTGAGGGATATTATGGATGTCGAGCCAATAACTATCCCTGGGCCGAGTATGACGACATCCAGCTGCAGTCTGATCTCCACGTGTGTTCCGTGGAATCCAATCCATGGTGTCCAGCCATCCGCCAGTTCGAGCACTGCCACGATCCGGACCTGTGGTCATCTCAGCTCCGAGGACGCATTTGGAATGACTTGGGCTTGGAGTGCGGCACTCAAAGAAGCCAAGATGTGGCCTCAATCATGCAGAATGTTTCCTTCCATGGCTCTCATTGTATGAGTCTCAATGGTACGCAGCTGGAGTGTCACACTGAGTCGTCGGTGCTACGGCCAGAGAATCTCATCGTCTGGACCGAGCAAAAGAGTTCTTTGAAAGTTTGTGGCTCATGGCCCCAGGTGCATTTTTCCTACGAATGTCAGATGGTTCTAAGTGACATCAGCTATTGCCAGAGCAGTGCTGGAACGCCCAAAACGACTTGGGAGTCCGTTTTATTCGAGTTCTGCGAGGTTCATGGCCGCATGACAACCTTGCCGGAATGGCTGGCAGTCGTGTTGAACGACGATGAGAAGTTTTATGTTTGTCAATGCCAGCACTGCGCGCCATGGTACAGGCCAGAGATTTCCACGGATTTCACATGTAAACAGAATTTGTGTGTGTGAAGCTCTTCCATAGATCCTGCCTGGGTGGGGGGTTCATGTTCGCATCCAAAACCATTGAAACATGGTTGACCTGGTTTAGTCTTAAAATCCTTCAACCACGCTTCTTCGGTGAACTCCATAGCACCTAACTCGGCCGGTCCAACGGACCCCGCGTCACCACGGTGGAAGCGACGGCGCCTCGCACGCCTCGCCCGCCGTCGCCAGGTCCAACGGATGCGTCGTCGAGGCGGTGGATATGGCCATGCGCCGCGCCGGAGGGAGACCGCAGTTGAACGATCTGCTGGCCGGGAGACGCGGGGTCCGGAGACAGGGCGACCGGGTCAGAATCCGCGGAGTCGGAGGTCCAAGGTCCAGATGGGTGCCAAAGTGGTAGGTTCCAATCAGAAATCCCAAACGCTCCATGACTGATAGAAATGCAGATACCACTTATACACGTACATTGATCCCATGAACATGACCCCAACGTAGGTCATTGTTCCGGTTGGTGTGATAGGAGAATGTTTGGGTTTTGCCACTTGGGGCACCGAGCAGTCTTCCAATATCCACCCCCTACTGTACCTGTTACATCATGTTATATAATGTTATATATATATATACACATCAATTGCCTTGAAACAATATGTTGGGCATTTTCTTTGAAAAGGTGAACAATTTGTTCGTCATATATGTGTTCATATATCATGTTTTTCCCGAATTCCCCTTCTGCTGTACTGGTGAACATGCCTCAATTGAATATTTAATAGCAGTTTGCGTAAAAATACCATAGACACTGCTTAAATTCAGGTGTTGGTCTTACATTCATAAACAACTTCAGCTTATGTATAATGTGTTTCAAATAGCATCAATGATGTTCTTGTGTACACAAATTGTGTTCCTGTTTTGTTGTGTTAAGCGGAGTCATGGACCCAGTGCTGACCAGTCCACCAATGTTCATCTCCACCTCTGAGCCTCAGAGCACACAACCATCCCCGTCGCGGTACACAGCAGCCCGGTTCGGTCGACCGGCAGGCCGAAGATCTGTGGTTCGCCAGCTTCATGAACGATCCGATCTTTTGCCTTCAATTCGCCTTAATGGCTGTGGCGGTCTTTGGCCCCTTCTGGTGGCTGGTGTTCTTCAGCCTCTTCGGCTGCTGCCTTGGAAATCCGTTGGCCGTGCCAGCGGATGTGGAACTTCAAGAAGGGGTGCGAACCGAAGAATTGGTCCTCCAAGCGGAGCTCGCATCCAATGGCTACATCGAGGCATGGTGCTTGAATCGCCTGGGAATCATCGTGGATCTCGGCTTTTGCGTGGCCGACTTCGTGGTCGACATCAAGATGATCGTCCTATACTACCAAAGTGTCCTGGTTTCACTGGTAAAGACTCTCAGAGAAAACCTTTTAGATTCTTTCAGCACGCATTCTTCCAAAAGTGGCGGTAACTGCAAGATGTCCAGACGAGAATCTCCCAAAACGCCATCTTTGCATCCTCGCAAAATAGCAGACACTATAATTCATAGACCTGCAAAGATAGATTGGTTTCAGGGTCCAGTTCCTTACTTACAGAATTGGGCAAGGCTATCACTACGGCTTTGCAGTCATCCAAATCTGCTTGCTTCTTCGCTTCGTCCTGGAACAGCTGCTCCGGCGGGGGCTCTTCCACCCAATCCGGGAGGCCGTCCACTCATTGAAGGCCAATCTGCGAACAGACCATGTGTTATCCCTGGTGCAGAGTGAGAAGAGTGGAGAAGCCACCCTGGCATCTTGGAGAACCCACGGAGAACCCACGTCGGTCTTCGTACGTAGCGCTGAAAGCCCATGGGAGACGACGACGTGGTGCGAGACGACGACGACACGAGGTTCGTGAGGTGTTCACCGTTCGGTACCACAACAACACGACAGGGACGATTAGGTTTCTGGCCGCACTCATATAGATATCCAATATATATGTCGGGTTGGTTGGTTGGTTGGTAAATCAAGGGCATACCCTCATGTGCATAGCCATATGTATGGTACCAACCTGACCCCACTATTGTTCCAAAAAGTATATATATATATATCATGGCATACAGGACTCGCCAATATTAGTATTTATATAATATTATATATGATATGCATTGCCCAGTTCTGTTCCAACGCTGGACAGTGTGAGTCGAAGAATTCACAGGGTTGTCCGGTTCCACCAATTGAAAACGTTTCCGCCATCCCTACCCAGGCACTCCAAAATAATGACAGATGATGGCAGATGACATTGGGATGGTTGACTTCAGGGGCGAAGATGGGACACATATGCCAGTCCCATTCGGTTGGTCTGGGCTCTTCGTCCAAAGCTCATCCACTTGTTGAGGGCTTGAGCCAGACGGGGATGGTCCTTGGTAGGTTGACCTTGGTCAACCGGTTCGGTCTGGTGCCACGACCGTGGAAGTGAACACACACCGCCGCGTGTCGTGTGATGCCGCCGTTATTCGGCGCGCTAAGAATGTGGATGTCCACATTCTTTGGTGATATGTACAAGCTTATCATCCGATGCCAAGTTCCTGCACCCTTTGGTATCGATTCTCCGGTTTTTCTGGCGTTCGTGGGCAAAATCCTGCTTGTTGGCGTGAACATTTCATTGGGGTCGTGTTGGTCCGGTCATCGCATACTCGGGGCGTTCTGTGGGTGGACCATTGAGTCGGCATTTCTTTAGACCTTTTGACCCCACACGCGCCAAGTAGGGTCATACCCGGGTTACATTGTGCGTCCGTTTTTTCTTTGTTTTTTCTTTACAATACTGGACCATCGTTACATTGGAAGTGTTCAGGCGCGCAAAAGAACCGGTTGTTTGTGTTTGCAACATAGTGATTGAAGCACTTTGATGCCAAGTGCACATCCCCATTGGCCCATTCACTTACTGTAACTTTTACAATTGACATGCTTCATTTGAACTGGCCATAACAACCTGCAGTTTGGCACACTGGCTGACCTAGGCATACATGTTGCGGATCTACACCCTCTTTTACATGGGCGAACAATATAGCGGCTATTGGACTGCCTTCATTTCCCTGCTGATTAGTGTGCGAGGTCTCACGCAAGGATGTTACATTCACTTTGACCTGGCCTTCATCTCTTCCGAAGACTTGCCACCCATCGATGATCCAGCCACCTCCGTCGTCCCGACTACAGCTGAGCCGGACCGGAGCTCGTCCGTCGACAGGACCCGTCTGCAGACGGGAAGAGAGAGCAAATCCTTCTTCAAAGCGCCGCAAAGCTCTTCGTCTCATGGCCTTGGCGTGAGAGGGACCATTGCAGGTGACAGACTCCATTCGGTTCTTGCAGAGGTCAGAAAGGGTGATGGCGACGGCGAGAACCAAGGAGCGGAAGCAGTGGAGGGGGCGACGGCCGAAGGCAACCGCCCAACCTTTGAAGCAAGTACATCATTCGGCCCAACTCAGCCTTCAAGGGATGCTTCGGCTTGTGGCCAGCGAACGGAAGGGGGAAGGGAGGCGGTTGCTGAAGAACCGCCTTTGCCCAAAGAACTGGAGAGGATGGCAGACCCTGAGGCACCCGACGGATTGCCTGAGGAACTTTCAGTTGAGCTCCCTGGCGAGATTCATGAAGATAGGCCAGTGGGGGAGAACCCTAGGGCACCACCAATTGTGCCAACACTTTTTGGGGCCGAGCAGGCGTGAGCATGCCTTCATCCTCGTTGGAGGATGAAAAAGACCCCACACTTCACCGGACGAACCCCTTGGAGTCTACTTGATAATCCGTTGAGACAGGACACTACCGGACTTTGGCAAGGCCCTACTAGGCCTCCAAAAAAATTGAAAATCTTCTCTTCGACAGATCACCAGCATCACCTAAGGTGTTGCTGGTCCGTACGGACATCCGTGCAGGTTGTACAGACTCTTCTCACACCGCGTTGGAACGCGATGTGGGAACAAGCCACGTGAAACGCGGCGCGCCGCGAAAACGGTAAAGCCACAGGGGGCATGCGCAGGTCGCTAAGATTAGATCGACGTCGAAATATATACCTTCACATCCTTTCGCCAGGTTGTGTTTGGACCCGACCACAGGGGGGTTCTAAGCACCTGTTGTCACCCGGGTCTCACCTGTTGTAGGCAGATTCGCATATGATTCGCATTGACTGGTCCAGGTTTTGTGGATGCCAACGTTGCAACATGTTGCAACTCCAGAAGTGTCCCCACCTGCGGACATGTGGGGACTTTCGTTGAATAACCCCAGACACTCCAATGTAAGGCTTTAAGGAATAGTAACCGACATTAGGGTCATAAAGTCATAAATGAGGTACAAATGTATGTAACTGTTCATACATGGATGGCCTGGAGTATTGACATATCAATTTCATGCAGCATGCATGCTGAGCTTAGCTGCTTGCGTGGATAAAACTGGCTACGCTGGACTGGGCTCATCAAACTTTCGTCTACGGGGATTAGTACCACTCCCTAAGGGTCCAGCACCACTCCCCCAAGGGTCCAGCACCATCCGTTGCTCGGATGTCCTGCCAGACCCCCGGCAACGACCATTCGCTGGTTTCGTACGAACTCACTTTCGAGCCACGACCATCCGACGTACGGAGGTACCTGGACCCTATAGGCCTATAGGACTATAGTACTGGACAGATGATCCCCCGGAGCTACTGGGGATGGGTGAACACCTGGAGCTTCACCATATCATGTAGCGAACGACCAACCTTACGTCGGTAGGTCAACCGTTGGGTCTCCTGGTGCCGGTCCCACAGCCTTTCTTTCGACTTCACAAAGAAGTTAAAATATATAAAAACATGTTGCTCCCTCTCAAACAGAAAGCCAAGTTGTGATGATCTGACGGTCGTTCTTCATATGTCCCAAACTGAAGACGCCCTTGGCATTCACAGGGTTCGTGGTGACTCACCCTTCGGCCGCGCCTGGGTCCTGGGCGGTCGGTCCGATGTCACGACGGCTTTGACCGAGGACTCGTTTGGCCGTGGCACCAGTGATGCAGGAGGGGCTGGGGCGGATCTGGGCGGATGGGGCGGGGATGGGACGGTGAGTCGGGAGGTGTTTGGTCCCAATGAACATACCAGGGCCCATACCAGGGGTGGTAGACATGGACACCCCGAATCACGGCCCCGTATAATTATAAATAGACACCCCGACAGGAGGGTCTTGGTAGACTGCGTCTTGATCAGAGAGTCAGTCGACGGTGCCACGTTCGTGAGACCTGGGATTCTTTTTCTCTGGCCGCGAGGTAGAACAGAATAGATCCAATGGGTGCATAGATTGATCGTCGCATGGATGGTTTGGGGATGTTTGGGGTGTTCAAAACGATCACTGAATGAAGTAGAGTACTATCATTAGATACATGGGGTGTTCCATTGTACTGTAACTCTTCCAGTTGCATGGAGGGTGGGGATCGGTCAAGAAAACAGCAGAAGATGCTTTTTACTCAGGGAGATGCAAAGCAAAATCCTTAACATTCCTTAACACTCCATGGCACTGGAATAGAACTATAGAGTACATATAGTATTTAGTATACAGATGTATACTTGCATTTCACCCTGCATGTTCACCCCAGTGTCAACTCCAACTGATCGATGTGCACTAGATGCGGTGAACTCCAACTGATGTCACTGTTTCTTTGTAGCTTAAAGTAAACCTCATTCAGTACTGCTCTGCGAATCTCTGCGATGCGAGGGGTCGTGTCGAAAGGCACACCATCCCGTCCGCTCCGCTGGGAAATGCATGGGTGGCCGTGGATCAGCACGAACCCCGAACGGTGCCGAGCCACTCGGCACGAACCCAATGCCTGCCCTGCGGCCATTCTGCTGGGCGAAGCGTACTCGCCTTGTCTCGTCATCCACCACGTCTCGTCGCAGAAGTGAAACACCTCCCATTTGGCTCCTTTCAGATCCAGAAGACCAAACACGGAAGACATCATCCCAAAGAGATCCCCAGCCGCTGCCCGCGCGCGCATGCGCCTACGCGCTCGGCTTTTCTCGGTCCGCTAGGACCATCCAAATGGGTGTCCAATGGGATCCCAGCCCACCACGGTGGGCCCCCGATCATCTCACCACCATGGTTCCGAGCACCGATCCAGCGAAGCGGGCGCGATGAGGTCGAGGTTCAGCTCGAAGACTTCAACCATTCATGGTGGTTGGAAGCCTGGGTGATCACCCTTGAACTGTTCTTCTCTTTTGTCGAAAGGTGGTCATTGAGATCATGAATCCGAAAAAGACGTTCCTTTCCTTTGGTGCCAGAAATAGTCGAAGTGGACTTCTACCAGAGCCTCCATATAAGCGGTGTCTAATAATAGCCCCTTAGAATCCCTTACAGGTGATTGGGGGTGTCCATTAACCACCCCAAACCGTGGGCCCTGGTAGGGATTGTTCAATCTACAGGAAAGTGACATGCATGCTCTTCAATCCACAGGACATGCTTGCACGTATTCCTCATTTCGTCAATGCAAGTACTCCTTGTGATATAACATACAAACACTGTACTTGATTGGAACAAAGAGTCAAAGCATGTACTATACCTTTTCCTGGACTTTTTGTTCAACATATTTGCAAGTCTTACAATACAGTCTCTAGAACAACTGAACTTCCAGTTTGGTGGGAAAAAACACATGAAAAGTATTGAAAAGTAACATGTTATGTGAAAACACCGAAGGACTCACGAAGTCAAAGGGATGTCCATCTCCAGGAGCCTCCCATCCGCCGCGAGCGGCCCGCCTCGACCTCGCCACAGAGGCACAAGGCCAGCGAAGGGAGAAACGGATGGAACAAATGCAGAAAGAGGCACCGAAAATAAAGTGGTTTGACCCCAGTGTTTGACACCCCGAAACAATGGGACGTTGAATGAAATTGAAGTGTTTGACTCCAAAATTGGGACATGACCACAAATGAACTTTGTACTCTAAACTTCTTTTGGTGGGCCGTGGGTAGATTTGGACATTTCTTGGCACTAAGCCAGGGTGGGGAAGAACAAGGAATTCCGACCCAGCACCCGTTGTCGAGTGACGGTTGAACCACCAAATGACTTGTCTCGTCATACAAAGTCCCTGTGGACTTGAAAGAAAAAACGTGGGTGGTACTGGAAGATGTTGTGTTGCAATGTGTTGCATGTGTTTTGTATTTCAGATGTGTTTCTCAATGTTTCTCATCTCTGTTGCATTCAGACCGTTTGAAGAAAGGGACAACTCCGAGACTCTTGACCTGGTTTCACTTACTGTCACTTGATGAGGCCTGAATTCGTCGATCAAAAAAATGGGGTTGAGCAGGATGAGAACTTGCTATAACGCCAGACCAAATGCCGTAGGATTCCTGGCTGCACCATTGATTTTCATGGTTGAACAGCCCACCAACCCTCAGTTTCCTTTAAACACTGTACTGTATTTGTTCTACGCACTAATACCAGGAGTCACAAAGGGGTGCCTATTGGAGGATAAGGGTGCCCAGAACATCCACTCACTGGATGGGACTAAACCCATGGAAAAAAGAATCAAACACACACAAAAAAAAAAATATCTGCTGGTCCTTCAATCGCCACCAGGAGCCTCGAGCGAGCAGCCCCCCCGCTGCCGCTGGCGCGAGTGGCGCGGCCACGCGGGGCGCGAGCGGAGGCGTGTGGCGGAGCGGCGTGACCGGTGGCTGAGATGATCATGGCCCAAGTTCGGTCAGTCGGGCGGTCGATTTGGCATGCAGTGACCCTGGAGATCCTAGAGGTTCTCCGAGAGAGGCAATCAGAAGGGAAACAGAGTTATTGTTTCAATTGTTTCAGGTTCCTGTCATAGATGTTTGACTAGCTCGGCACAGGTAGATCCACTGCACTCAATGCACGGGTTCCTGCATCCGTGCGGTGGCCAAGATGGATGAAAGCCAGTGTTCAGTTGCCCAGACGCTCCATGTGCAATAATATAATATAATATAATATATATGTTTTATACACTCAGACCGTCCCAGATTATCCATGCATGGCTTATTACCTACATTGGGGTGGTTTCAAGGGTCAATCTAGTTATGTATTCCATACATGGATGGTCTGGGGTACCTACATTGAGCCCTGAGACATCCTGAAACCACCCCTCATTGACCCGCACGGAAGGTGGAATCGTTGTGGCTGCAAGTCGTTTGGTGTGTGTTTTGCTGGGTCCGCTTCAAACGTGCTGCTGGTGTTCTATGGCGTAGATCATGGAATCAAGACCGGACGAGAGTGGATTCTCAAGCAACAGTGCTGGGAGTAGGGTTTGAGGCCTGGACACTGCATAGGACTGGAGAATGTTTTGCCTGTTACTCGTACAGCCATTGAAACAGGAGGGATTCACGGCCTGGCGGTTTGGAACAACATGGAACAACCAACCCAGCCTGTGAAGCTTGCTGAGGCCGGACGCCTTTGTAGCAGGCAGCCCGGACAAAGACTTTATGCATGGCGATGGGTGTCAGGAGAGTGTATTCTTGCCATCCGGACTTGTGCGATGTGTTTAATGTTTGAAGTATCAACTCATCGAGATTTGTTTGTGAATCCTCGCCAAGTGCTTCGTTGTGTCCTATCAGGTCCTATCACAAGAAACTCAAACCAATTGGATGGACCCAAAGATGTTCATTGAGTTATATTGAGTTGCGTGTTTTGTTTACATTTCGGCCCTCATTTTGCAGCCTCAATCCTTCTTTCTTCAGTGGCACGAAGCC